TTAAACACACCTGAAGCAGCTAATCAAGCTTTTCTAGATATACTAGTAACTTCCAAGCAGGTGTGTTGAAGGAAATGGGAGCTAAACTATTAAGGGCACCCGCCCTCCAGGACTGAGTTTGGACAGCCCTGACTTACATTATGATATTGTACTACAGTTTTACTGGATTACATCTAATGAGGCAGTGCGAAAAACATAGATAGCTGGCACACACAATATTGTGTGAGTGTGTGTTGCCATATTCACTATCATCAACATTTAAAGAGGTTTGGATAAGCCCGATTAGCAGCATGTTGTCAACTTCCACTGAACTACTTTTGAACAACAACACATAATTTTTCTCCAATGTGTTGCAGTGCATTTTTTTCTTAATCAGACACTATTGTTTATGCTTTACATCAGGGGTGTCCAAACTTGGTCCTGAAGGGCCGGTGTCCTGCATAATTTGTTCCAACCCCAAGTAAACACAGCTGAAGCAGCAAATCAAGCTCTTTCTAGGTATACTAGAAACTTTCAGGGAGGTGTGTTAAAGGAAGTTGGGGCTAAACTATGCAGGACACCGGTGTTTGGACAGACCTGCTTTACATGGTATTAGAAACTGACCAAAACACACTGCCTATATTCACTGAGATTGACTGGGATTATTAAACACATATTGAGGCAAGTGTGATGCTCATGGATTTGTAAGTCAGTCATTTTACGATTGGACGACATACTGTAAACACATGAAATTTATTTCCAAAGCTGGTCTGTGGTTTACTTTACTATAACAAGATAGTCAAATCAAGACACAAGGAAAGCGTCTTCAATACAAACAATCCTAAATAAAATCTAAACAGGTTGGGTTCAATATTAGCTTTTGTTTTAATAAACAAACAACTCATAGATTATTCTGAAAAAAATATTGTGACTGAATTAACAGGCCACATTCCTTTAATCAACAAACACTTCATTTAAATAGCTGAGACCAATAGAATTTAAAGAAGAGTTCTTTTAATTCACTTCAATATGGCCAGGTTGTGTATTTTAAAAGCTATTGCTAAACAAGTATGTTAACTTAACATTATATATATATATATATATATATATATATATATATATATATATATATATATATAAAAAATGGTGCACACACTTCAGGTATACATTTGGACAAGTTTGTTTCATTCTGTTTCTTAAATGTGTTGCATAGTTTGCAATCTATTATCAGATATTTTGTGTTCAGGCGTTTATATAAAAAAAATTAACATATAAACAACTTTTAAAATGGAGTGGGTAGAACAGTTTCTCTGAAAAGTGGAAGTGGAAAACTCGTAGTGGATTCTCAGCAAAGCGATTATACAGAAACTATTTTACCCTTTAAACATTATTACAGCCAAGAACACAGCCACTGCTGGAAAACCGTCATCTTTCCTGCTATTAAAGGAAATGCGTCAAATCGAAAGAGAATTTTAATCCATGGCAAAAAATGCAGCTAAGGACAAAAAAAAACTGTGTTCATAAAATTGTAATTTCACTATATAAAATTAATCTTTTACTAAAATGCTGTTGAATTTAATAAGTTCCAAGATTGAGGTCACTGGTTTAAACCACAGCACGTGTGGAGTTTGCATGTTCTCCCCATGTTGGCATGAGTTTCCTCTGGGTATCACCCACAGTCCAAAGACTGTGAATAAACTAAATTGGCCATAGTGTATGTGTGTGAATGAGTGTATGGATGTTTTCCAGTACTGGTTTGCAGCTGGAATTGGGATACCACTGCATAAAACATATGCTGGCTAAGTTGGTGGTTATTTCAGCTGTGGCGACAGCGGATTAATAAAGGGACTAAGCCGAATTAAAATGAATGAATGAATGAGTTCAAAGATTTCAAATAATTGGATGTGTTTTGATTACCATATGTAATTATTAAAATAAACAAAAAAGTTAGCCTACCAGCAGTACATTATATTTGCTTCTGTAGTATAACTACAGTACCAACCCATACATACATCTAAAACTACTAAAAACATCAACTAAAAAGACACCATGCAGCATTAAAGGTTGTCTAAGCAAAGATCAGGCACAAGTGCAAAAGTGTAAATACTGTAAATATACTTGAATCATGAGCTACATGCAGTCTCTATTAATCTGTGGTGCTTTTTACAATGTACATATCTCCAAGATTGCCTCTGGGACTGACTTGAAATTCCTCCATCCATCCAACCATTAATACCCTATAGAATAAACTAGGAACTGTTTGGAAATGTAACAGCAACTAAAACATCTTTAAATTCAACACAGAAGTTTGTCAAGACAAACTTTTCTTGTTAGAACTGAAATCATTGTGGTAAAAAATAACTATAGACTGTTTACAATGTCTCGGCTGTAACCGCAAAATAAAACTGGAGAAATATCATTTCATTTCTTTGTATACCCATCTAAGGTTGAGAAAACAAAGCTGAAAGTTTTCTTCAGTGCTGAAGTTCAGGGCTTATTTATCTTTATATTGTCAATGCTGCTTATACAGACGGTCGTTGGGACACAACTCTGAGAATATTAGACAATTCTTCCCCAATGTGAGGATTTACAGTATAATGAACAGGTTGGCATAAAGCAGCTCTGAATAGAATGCATTAGGATCTGCAGAGTGTAAAATATAGCTGGATACAGCTGCAATAAGACACACAAATGAATTCTCTGATAAAGGAAAAAATTCACCAGAAAGCATGAATCATACTTCTTCACTTTATTAAAGTATCACACCTTCCACTGAACCAGGGCACACAAGGACAAAACATTAAGACGCACAAAAAAGTTGCCACAATAAAAATGACAGCAAATCAAACAGATCAGGTCAACAAAAAAGAAAAAAGAAAAAAAAAACAGTCTCTCCATCATGGAGGTTGAAACGGGTCATTTAAAGTGCTTGAATTCACTCTTCTGTTAGTACACATCTTTTCTCTCCACACAAACAGGTTGGCAGCTGTTATTTTCATGAAGCTATAATGGAGCAGTGGGAGCTTTCTGACAATGCCTCATACAATGGGGTCACAAAAAGTGAAAAATCATAACAAGACATGAAGTCTGTGGAAATATATAGTTCTTTTTTTTAAAGGATGGCAAGTGCCCTTTTTCTTTAAATACTTTCATGCTAGTATAGGTAAAATGAACCCAGTTAAAAGCAAACACGCACATGGGCAGCAAGTCATAAATGTATTTTATACCAGGTCTTTGTACGAGTGCATTTATTAAAGTTATCTGGGAAAACTGACAACTAGTGTTTTAATGGCGCTTTTAACTTGTTTTTGATGAAGGGTTTTCACACTGCGGCACCGCACCAGTTATTTGTTAATGGCATCTTTGTTTCTGCAGATATTCTTAAGAGCTTTTTAACAGCATGAACAGAATTTTCAACATTTTTTCTTTATTCAGTGAATGTTTATGTGATCCAAATCATGCTGTTTAACTTTTAGTCAGATAGGGTTTTTTTTCATACTATCATCGCTTGGACAAAGACATTTTGTAAAAATGAAGGATAATAACTTTCAAATACATTTTTTTTATTCCAATTGAACCATGCCTTTAGGGACGCTACTTTTTATTTAATTTATTTATTTTTTTACATTTTTCTTTATTAATAGACTAATGAAAGAGAAGATGCTCCTGGCTGTAAACGGGCACCTCATTGACACCAGCGATTCACCTCTGCCCATGACGGACAGAATCAATGTACTTCTGTGACTTTAAATTAGCAAGTCTACAGTGGGACCTCTCCTCCTGCACACGTACACCGCCACAATGAGAGACAGAAAGTGAGAGAGAAACACAAACAAAGTGTCTCCAGAGCATTACAAAACAAGCCCTCCATTGATTTTCTGCTTAGTATAACCACAGAGCTGGGAGAGAGTGAACGACAAACACACACACAAACACACAAATATCCTTCTTCTATTGATTTTCTTTAGTTGGTTTTAAACATGGCTGCCCATCTCTGCTTAAGGTGTGTCTAGAAGTATGTGGCCCACGTGAGATTGCGGTGTAAAACCCCAAACACCTCATGTGATGAGAAGATGGCAGTTAATCATTTTCATTTCAGACTGAAGATCTGTGGGGAAGCTATAAGGTGAAGTTCTTGTATATACTGATAAGTACATACACTCGGATACATATACTGTATATTGCACATAAGCACTGAGGAGGACTTAAAGGAGGATCTGAAATCATAGTATGGAAAATGTATGTGCTTCCATGCAGTTGATCTTGTTGTATATTTGTGTATTAGTGTGTACTGTATTATGTATCAAGGCATGCCAAAAGCACAAAAACTCGAATTTGACCAACATTTGGAGTTATGAAAAACTGCAAAAAATGCTTTTCTTACTTGGATTTTTGTCTTGTTTCTAGTTTAAATATCTAAAAATTCTTAAATTAGGACGAATTGTCTAGACAAGCAAAACATAATGTCTTGTTTTAAGAAATAATGTGCCAAAATGAATTTGAATTTATTTGAATTTATTTTATTTAACAGGGACAATGCTCATTAATCAACAGTAAAACTGTAAATAAGCCAGAGTTAGCCACAAGGGCTAATTTTCATCTGTTGCCCCCTGCCAGATTTTAAAAGGCAACCTAAAATTAAAAAAACACGTCATTACACATACAAAAACAGTAAAAATGAAGTGAGTTTAACAAGCAAAAAAAAATCTGCCAATGGGGTATGCAAAATAATCTTATGTCAAAAGGAAAAACTAAATTATTTTGCTTACCCCGTTGGCAGATTATTTTACTTCTTAAGGGGAAAACTCGCATGATTTTGGCATATTATTCCTCAAAACAATACATTAGATTTTGCTTACCTAAAAAAATGCTTCTTGAATTAAGAATCTTTAGTTATTTATTTGGTCTTGAAACAAGACATTTTTTGCAGCGCTCACTAAGGGGAAAATCATCCTGAATATCCAAGAAAACATCTGCTGTGGCCAATATGGACATCAAAAGCAACTTGCACTGGACAAACAGTCCAATGCATCTATCTTCAGAAATTTAACTAAAAATTTTACTTCATGGATTTAATAATTCATGTCTCGCAGAGCCAAAAACAAGTTAGTGCAACAACATTTCCAAAAACTAAGAACTTCATCAAGTGTGTGTACTGCTTGCACATTTAAAGTTTCTCAGCAAGACTGTTTCTCTGCCAAAGACAAGGCAAACAAGTTCCTGCAGAACTGAAACAGACCAAACAGCTTAATAAAGGCAACTGTAAACATCTTTATAGCGTATAAATAATTTAAAAGCATCATAACAGTTCTATACGCGACTAATGAGAGGTGAAAAAGCAAGTTAAAACTCTGAGCATGCCATAATTTATAATCCAAAAAAAGAACCTCGTTGATACAGGAGGCATGAGCCTTAAATGGAAATCTGCTGATCGCGACTGAAACAAGGTGAAAATAAAGGAAGCACAGACAGCAGAATGTGTACTCTCCTGCCAAAGCACTATGTCTGTAGGTCATAGAGACTTGTTGCACTGACAAACAAGATGCACGAATGAGGGAAAAAAACAATACCCGAGAGCCTGGTTTATGTGGTGAACTCAGACGTGGATGTGAAATGAAGCATGAACTAATACACAAACACACCAAATAACAGCAGAATGACAGCTTTTCCTGTGAAAATTGAAGAGGAGACTTGAGTCATGTGATGTACTGACTCACTCCATCCTTAAGACAGGCTCTAGGAGACTGCCTAGACAATAATATGTGTTTTGCAGTAAAACCTCAGGAGGTCGCTGATGTAAATGTCAGATTCACCCACTAAATGAGTGGGCGTCCAGAGGGCACGGCGCATGGGAAAACATCCAGACAATGAGGGTCTCAAATAAGCTCCACAGGCAGTCAATGGCACTGCACACACTTGTTGTCTTTGACGTTTGTTTAGCATCAATAAAACAAAGACTAATCTGCTGCTTTTCATTGCCCGTTTTCCAGCCTGAACTTCTGTCCATCATTTGTCAATTTATAAGGGTGAATATGGAAGATGAGTGGTGAAGTGGAATGAAGATCAATGACTTTTAGGTGCAATGTTTCTGTGCAACAGTAGCACTGATTGTGAGACTTTTTGTTGCATAGTTAGAAGCAAAACTTTAGCTGCTTTAGCTTAAAATGTTGTCTAGCCACAAAAAACACCATCTAGTGCAAGCCGCATGTGTAATCATGCGTTTAGGGAGGTAGCCTTATCAGTGTCTATGGCTGCAGCTGACACTCAGTGGATCTTTGGCTTTGGGAGTCTTGTGGAGATACCAAGCGATACTGAAGCATTGTGTTCTGGGTTAGCTTCTCTCCTGATTACTACTGGCCAAGCCTGGGAGGGCTGGCCATGCAGTATGATGTGGTTCTCAGCACTGAAGCATGGCAAACCTCTGGACGGAGGAGGAGGAAGCTGCTCCTGCTGCTGCTGGGCCTTGTAGTTCACTGAGAGTCTAGATTTTGGATTTGACCCACTACAGCCCCCTACAGGCAGAGCAGAGAGTGTTACCCGTCTGTGTAGACGTGGAGGCTGCAGGACACGAGGGCTGAAGAGGGACAGGGGGTGAGGTGTTTGCAGCAGTTTGTTTTGATGGCTTTCTGGGGTCGGTCTCGCAATCTGTTCTCCAGCCCCCGGTGACTCACTCTCATTGATGTCTTGTATGCGAAGGTGGGTGCTAAGCAACCGACTCATCTCCTCTGGGTCAGGTAAAGATTTCGACTCTACACGAGGGTCTCTAGCAGGAGGCAGAAGTGGATGGGCACAGGGGGATGGAGGACAGGGCATGGGTGGCTGTTCACCTCCGGTGCAGGCATTACTGCGGCCCCCGATTGGGACTGTTCTTGCTAGTTTTCCCTGGATGAGGGGCTCGTTGGGGATGCGACTGATGGGCTGAAGTATTTGAGGCTGTGGAAGATGAAACAGAAGATTAATTACACAATAAAAAATAGTGGAATCAATGATCTGCGATCAGGGGATCAGCATTTTGAACTGAATTCTCTATTTACAAAAAGTATTAGCTTTCGAAGTATGCATCTCATTATGTCAGAGAATGAGAAAAACACTGAAGAGTAATGGTCTCAAACTCAATTCCTGGATGGCTACAGCTCTGCATAGTTTATCTCCAACCACCTCCAACTCTCACCTGCTTAATAGTTTCTATTATTCTTAAACAACTTGATTATTTGGATCAGCTGTATTTGATTAGGGTTGGAGCAAAACCGTGCAGAGCTGCGGCCCTCTAGTAATCAAGTTAGAGACCCATGCTAAAGTTGACCAATTTATGTTGGAATTTTCCAAACTGAAAATTTAAATCAAATACAGTATTAAAAGCAGCATTACTGAGAGCAGTCTTTGTTCACTATAGTTCAGTTCAGAGCAAACTGCTAAAATGCGAATGCAAGTATCAATGTTCACACTTCAGTCAAAACTAAACCACTTAAACCAAGACACAATTCAGAAATGTATTGAGAACTTTACAAATTTTGTATCTATTTAATGCATTTTAAACACAATAAATCAGAAAATGAACTAAAATCCAAAGGGTTTTTTGTACATTACATAGACCGTTCTTAAAAACCACCTAAAGAAAAGCGAGTTGTTTAAATTAGATTGTTACTTCGTAATGAATTAATAAATATATTTTGGATTCCAAGGTGACAGATCACTTCATTTCCTATAATGCATTACTTTTGCTAAATTTGCTAAAAAGCTTTGGTGAGCCTTTGGTCAAACCTTCCCCTGAACATTTCTAAAACTAAGGAGATTATTGATTTTAGAGTGAGAACACAAAGCAAAACTCATCCCACATTAATTAATGTGGAGCAAATTCGGTTAATAACAAATTATAAATATTTGGGTGTGATGTTGGACAGTAAACTGATGTGAGATGTATGGACTGACTGTGTAAGGAAAAAACTTCAACAGAGAATGCACTTCTTAAAAAAACTATAGATTTTTAATGTTGACAACATATTGTTGATCATGCTTTTTCGTGCTTTAAATTAAAAGTATTGCAACATTTTGTGTGATCTGTTGGTATGGAGGTCCAGAAGAGGTCACTGCGCAAGGTGGTAACAACAGCCAATAAGTTGTTGGGAATCAAACTAACGAGCATTGGTAGTATATACAAAGAAAGAGTAATAAATAAGGCTATCATTATTGTCAATAATGGGAGATATCCTTTATCAAACACCTTCCAATTATTACCATCAGGTCATCGATATTGTGTTCCCAGGTGTGTAAGAAACTGTAAAAATATATGTATAATTTATACCACAAGCAATTAAGTTTTTAAATTCCCCCTCCCTCAGGAGCAGTTGATGACTAGTAGACTGGATATGTATTTAAAGTAGAGGTACCAAGCTTTTAAATGATTTATTTATACATATGCCAAATGTGAAATGTCAGATGTCTCTGTGATTGTATGCTGCAAATGAAATTTCCCTATGGGCACAAATAAAGTTAACTAACAGTTCAGAAATGCATTGAGTTTGAAGAAACCCTGAATTTGAAGTTAGATTGTTTTTATACCCGTTTAATGAATTTTAAACACAATGAACTAGAAAATGAACTAAAATCCAAAGTTTTTTTTTTTTTGTAAATTACAGTTTTTAAAAAGCACCTATAGAAAAGTGAGTTGTTTATATTAGATTTTGATACTTCAAAATAAATTAATAAATAAATTTTTTATCCCAAGGAGACAGATCACTTAATTTCCTATAACTTATTACTTTTTCTAAATTACTTAAAATAATACCACAGAGCACCCTTTTTCAGCATCCTTGGTACTGACATTTTTTTTAAAAGTCTCATTTAATACATTTTAAGGCAGAAACCAACCAACCATCTATAAGGTAAATCACAACATAAACTTTGGTTTAAAAACAAAAATATCTGAATAAACAATAAATCGACAAAAAGAACATTGGTACTTCTCGCACTGCCAATTACATAATCACAGGCAGAAATATAAAACTACCATCTAAACCACAGTTCAAATCCAGTTCCTGGAGGGCCACAGCTCTGCACAATTTGGTTTAAACCCTAATTGACCACACCTGATCAAATTAACTTCAGGCTTGTTTGAAACCTACAAGTAAGTGCAGGGTTGAAACTAAACTGTGCAGAGATGTGGCTCTCCGGCAACTGAATTTGACACCTGTGATCTAAAACTATTGAAACATCATGAAGTTTACCATGAGACTTAATCAATTTTTAATGTCAACTGTCATCAATAAAAGTTTTTAAACTCATCTTACTGCAATTTAAAATTTAATTTCTTGTGGAGTACAGCCAAATCGTATTCACAGATATGAATGAAAAGCGAAAATTCTGAATTTTGCATGAGCCTGTTTGTTTTTTCTAAATAAAAGCAATGACAAGTAATATTGCTGCTCTGTAAACACTGCCAACGTGTTTTGAGTTATATGTGGTCAGTGAGCTGTTCAGTTCCGCACAGAGTGTGACTGTAATAGGGTGGTTTCGAATGAATGAGCATGTATAGAGGTAAGTTTCAGGGAACACAACTGTGCACCAGGACACAGGCACAAGTCCTGCTTTCATTCTCATTTGCTCATTTCTTTCTCTCAAATGCTGTTTCTCTAGAAAAGCCCAGTTGTACTAAAACCACAGCACCCCCTACTGGCCAGCTGTGGTTTTATTACAGCATGTCACATTTCTATTCAGCCAGAGATCATTTGTAAGGTGTGTATTATCTCCAGATACCATCACAAAACAATTTTATCACATGCCCGACCACACAGGGATGAGAAAATGCCAGAATGAGAGAGATGTAAGCATTACAATTTGAAACACCACTGGAGAGAGCCGAAAAAACAACAGCTGAAAAACAACACCATGCTCATTTCTCAGAATAGTGAATATGACTGCACAGCGGGTGCAAGGGAGTAAGAGTGTGAGCGGGGCTTGGTGCATGAGTGCAATAGTGTTTGTCAGCAAATTTACTAGCGTGAGACAGTCAGACAGTCACATCCTCTGAATGACGTCACAAAATCTCTGGGGTGCAGAGACGGATGCGGACACCTGCAGATAACACATCCATAATGCATTCACCTCTGGCTCTTAGTAAAAACAGATGAGTCTCATGAACTGTAACCTTATAAAGCCTGTGAAGACATATACAGCTCCATGCACACTGACAGTAACTGGAGTTCATCACTCCAAGTTCTTGTAATCTTTGACATTATTTTTCATGCCAACTTTGAGTTTAATTATGTTGACAATTTGCATAACATCTCAACCTTTCTGGACAAGGCCAAATTGCAGCTTTGTCATCAGAAATATCAAAGTTGCATTAAAAATCTAGAATCACTTTCAGTGTTAATGAGAACATGTTTTAGGAGTTATTAAAGGAATAAAATTGGCATAAATCAGCTGTTTCCACCAATAATTAGTGTCAAAGTTTTACATCTAAAAAGACGGACCATTGCTCAAAAATGCAGCTTGTAATGCAGCGTGTAAAGTATATATTAAACCAGTGTTTCTCAACTGGTGGGTCACAACCCAAAAGTGGGTTGCGGGAACATTTTCAGTGGGTCGCAGAGTGTGTGGTCAAAAAAACAACAAATGTTTAATTTTTTACTTATTTTGCTTACATAAGACTTTTATTTTGAAATGCGCGAGCGTCAACTGTACCGTTTGACATGTGAAATTTCATTTAAGTATAGCAACAAATATGTCGAAACACAAGTACGACCCCGAATATGTAAAGTTTGGATTTACATATATTGGTGACAAAAAAGGCTTAAAACCTCAGTGTGTCATATGCAGTGATGTGCTCTCACAAAAGCACTTTTAGAAATCAAACATTTGTCGTTTTTACTTTGTAATATTTCTATAATTTGAGACATTTTGTTAAATGACAATAATAAAATATTGTTTATATTTGCAAGTCTTTGTGATTTTCTTATGATTTATCTGTCACTACTTGTTTATGTTAACAAATAAATACAAATTAATTATAATTCCTAAAATTACATTAGTTCCTAAAAATTTGGGTCGCGGGTTGATGACCATGTAAAAATGTGGGTCCCATGGCCAAACTAGTTGAGAACCCCTGTATTAAACAGTACATTAGAATCTTACTTCCTAATACTGTTCCTGCAATGATGTAAGAGTAAAAAGTCCCCCAAGTCACAGAGATTTTATATGCTTAAGGTAATGCATATTAAGGGCCATGAAATACTAAACTGCATTTTTTAACAGACAATTTTAGCACCCATTAATTTTAATTATAGGAGAAAGCTGGCTAATTTTTTTGTATTATTTTCTGTCTTCTGGGTTTAAATATATTTAATTTAACTTTTTAAATCTATCTACTGACTTCAAAGGTTATGTGGAGGCAAATACCCACAGTAATCGGTATAGAATAAATGTTCATTGTGGTCTGTGCAATAAATTATCTGTGTGCATTTTGTGGGAAGCTTCGATGCTTCAACTCAGCAAGTGGCAAATAAAACTATCTAAAGACAGTGTGTGTTAAGTGTACTCCTCTCCTCCCTCCACATCACAGCTTAACCATGCCAACTTGGGCAGCATTTTTTTTTTTAAACTGGCGAAAAATAACAGGTTTTAAAGCAGGTTTTAGGTACAATATGTATAACCTTAATCGTGGTAAAATTACTCTAATGAACAGCCTCACAGCCTTATTAAATGGCAGCAACGGCATTGTGATAAATGACACCAAAGTTCAATAAACAATCTGCACACGATAAACAATTCTACTGCCAAGTAATACAGTTCATTATGCTGACTCCAGGCAGTTTGGGGGTTGCCAAGCAACATAGAAGAATTTAATACAAAATTCATCACAGGTGTGTTTATATGGGCTTCTAATTAGAATTCAGGGCTGGAAAAAAGTGTTTTATGATACAACATTGGGAACA